TTTTGAATTGATAATCTGAATCAAGAAAATACAATATTTGCCTCTGAAATGCAGTGGAGTGGAAGTATAAAGTAACAAAAATAGAAATCCTGAATTTAAGTACAACATTTGATTTGATTGTACATGTAATTAGTTACATTCAATCACTGGACAAAGATTTGATCAAACTTCCAAATTCTAGTAATTTTTTTCTTTTGTGAAGATTCAGCTTAGATTCTTAAAACACACAATATAATAGTATTAGCATATGCTCTGCTATATGGAACATCTGCTCATTGAAGCAGCAATATGTATCTAGGTTTAGTTAGTTTCCACAACTGGTATTTGTACTTGGCTGCACAACCAAGATTCTGTTAATAAATTTTCTGTTTCATAATAACGCGTTAGCACACGATGCCTTAGGTTTCAAAAATCCTTCCTCCATGTGTTAAACCTAGGTTGCACACAAAAACAGAAATTGATGAAAAGAGGGGAATAAATCAAATAATTACTCATAACTGCTGCAAGTATTACAAATCTATTATACTAACCAGAATAAGAGATAACCCAGAATTTTATAATAGAGCTAAAATTTCTGCGTATAAAAAGATTCTCCAAATCACTGATGGAAACAGTTCTAAACTAGCAACTTTAAACTGATGAAATTGAGCCTGAGATGCTATATTGTAAAGAGCTCTTTATCTCATTCGTCTTTGTCAGCATGGCATTGCACATTTGCTATGAGTTGTGTTTGTTTCTTGTGTCCTAATGCATACTGTACTCTGTTCACCTTCTACACAAGTTAATCTGCGCGCAGCTGTGGAGGGTTCAATAATGCCCAAAGATCCAGAAACTCTACCTCGCCTGAGGATGGGTCGGAATCAACTCCCGGGGTGAGAAGAGGCTGCTTGTGAGATCGTGGGGGGAGACTGTGTGAGACAGCACACCCACTGGAAGAGGAGGCAATATTGGAAACCACAACAAAGAGAAATGATATCGATAAAAGAAATCCCTAAGAGACTGAAAAGTCTCACAGTAACAATAACTAATTTAACAAGAAGATATGGTTAAACCTTTAACTGGCAAATCTAATCTAATGGCTACGACTGTGACTATGGACTGAAGAACATATGACATACGTAGGACTAACAGAAAAATATTTATTTGCAGGTCTTTGGCAGAAACCCAAAACCATAAGAGCAGACTATTAATCTATTTCAAGTGAATGTATTTTTACTAATCATCTCTCTGTACAAGCTGTTTTTATCTCCCAGGTGGACCTTCTTCTTCCTCTTGATGATCAGGTTGGGCCAGGGCATGCCTGGCGGGCACCAGTACAAGTAAGAGGACTCTCATGCTAAGGTCACCTAAATTGCCACAGATTTGGTTCCACAGATGGAGAAAGGCTATCCATAGAAAGGCCAGGGTCAGAATAACCTAATCTTGACAGGATCCACCAGCTTTTTGTAACGTACGATTGCATACCAAACAAACAAATAGAGAGACAAATAAACCGAACCAGCGAGTAATACACCCCCTGGACAGCTCCAACTGTAAGAAAGAAAAGGACAATGTTAGAAAGTTGTTGAAAGATTTAAAAAGCGTATTAAAATTTGTACTAACAGATATTTCTTGCATATTTCTTGAACTCAAGATATAATTTGGATGGGAAAGTACAACGTTCTGTGAATTATGGAATGTTAATTATGGCAGTAAGATGATGATATATCTTATATTTTGCTTATTTTTCCCCCGTAAACAGACAGCAGTTAAAGCTGAAGCATTAAGGCTGAGCAAAACAACACACCATGTTTGACAATCTAAGTAAAAACAAAGTAGGCCATTAGCCTATTGATTGACTATGCACATGAACATATTGTAAGCAAGCTATGTCTAAATTTACCAAGAATAATGCACTTCACAATATTTAATTTAATTCACCAAAGATTGGGAAGTGTTTGAAAAGTAAGATTTGGGTGGCTCCTTAGATGAAACAAACAAAGGATGAGTTTCTACAAGACACCTCCCATCCCTCTCTCAGATTTAGAGAAATTTCTGATTACAGTCACAGGTTCTGTGAGGCTATTGAGTTGCCACACACAATACAGAGGTGCTAATCTCTGAGAGGGCCACATTATTGTGAAGTTACAAGTGTAGATGAGAATAAATAATTAGGTTAAATCTGTTTCAAAATCATATATACAACCTCTATAAGAATAACTACTCATTTGCACTATCTCTTAGAAAACCTAAAAGAATAATTGATAAAGAATAATACAGAATAGAAATACTATTAATACAAATACTGATTAATTAAGAAACTAATAGTTTTTCAGGAATATGGAAAAATTAATGTAACTCCACATATTAATTATATTACATGATGTACTTTAGTCCCTGACATGTTACATAGCTTAGCACACTTAGTACTGGGATCTGATCCAGTAGAGGTGACGCAATGAGAGAACTTTTGGGATAGTTAAATTGAGGATAGGTGTATCCACTGTCAATAAAGTGTTAAAAAGATTACTAAAGATTAAACAAACATAGACTTTTGACAGTTCCCCGGATCAATGACAAACTTTTTCTTTGCCTCCTGTAATATACAGTTCTTCAGATGATCATTCCACATGGAATGTGGTTAAATGACTTAAGTGGTGACTATAATGAGTAAGTTCCAACTATCAATGTTTTACATTTGATTTGTTAAGGTTGACTCATTTACATTTGTTGTTGAGAAGTTGACTTATTTTCTGTTTTGACTGTTTTGAATGAAGGTCCTGATAATCGAATGTGAATGATAAAGCTCCAAATTAGATATTTCTTAGATCATAGAAAAGTAATGTGTTGAGGTCTATTGCATGTAAGTTTACAAGTGGATGGAGGTTCTGCCTGACCAGGGCGCGAGATCTAAGCCTATTCCTTCACTCTGTCCACTCTTGCTCTCTTTATATTTCACTCAATTATCTACTCATTTCTTGGATTTCTTGAAAATTCTCTTCCCTTTCTCCCTGGAACGAAGTGAAGATCAGGGCTCCCTGAACACAGCTTCTCCCTGTAGGGACAATTTCCTATAGATAAGCCAGCTTCTGTCCTTCAACGGAGTCCAAACCACTCATCCGTCCCATCTGGGGTGCGAAATTATCATGGAAATTTGTACTGTATATTGCTAGTGAGGGATTAAGCAAGTAATTTAGTTATAACCAACCGTTATCTTTGAATAATTTATTAATACAGATATAATGAATCAGCTGTTCCAGAGACCTGCTGCCTAGGGCAGCTTCGGCGTCTGGCCCAGAGCAAAGGGATGCATAATCATTTACACAGTTTCTATGTTTGTAAAAGGAAACAATTTTCTGCCATACCAACTGTTATTTGCTTTAGATTGCGTATTAACGGATTATGTTAAGTAGCCTAATTCCCCACTCCGCTTTTTTGAGTAACCTAACAGCAATCAAGTCTGTGCGAGATGAGCTTCACTGCGGAGTCTGTTAGCTGAACACGCTACAGAAACTACAGTCTATGTTCGGAACGCAAGCCTAAAGTGAGAGTAAGTAAGCCAGCTTTCAATGTTAACTTTCCTGTCAGATACAGTAATGTTGCCAATTTTAAAACTTAGCCCGTAGTTATTAACCAATAATGTTAGCTAATCTAATTGGTAATTAATGGAGACCCACTGCATCAAACTGGATGTAATGTAGTTTAATGTCAACAGGATAAATCTTTCTCCTTTACACTGGAGATGTTGGGGACATGTACCCATCACTTTCTGAAAGCATTTCTTAAAATGTTCTGAAAAATTGCTTGCAACGACTGGCTTAATCTACATCTATCCACTGCAGAGGGTCTATTCACAACCTGGAGCAGGAACTAGTATTAATGAATGTATTAGTATAATACTATAACATTGAATAAAACGTATAATGTTCATTTTATAGTATACTGTAGTATAATTCATATATTAATTATAAAATGTTAATATTTTGATTATAATTTCATATAACACTACATTGCTTACCACTAGTATAATATTAATTCCAATTATAGCAGTGTCATTTTTGTGGGTTGTTTTCATTCATTAAATCCTTCTGCAAGAAAAATGGTCTACATTAGTCTTTAATTTGTTAATGCTAAGTACTAACAACTAGTGTTGTAGTCGAGACCGCCCAAACCGAGACCAAGTCAAGACCACGACCAAAGTTTATTGAGACCGTGTCAAGACCAAGACCAGTTCCCCACATTACATGACACACAATAAAATGTGGAACAAGATCATAGGTACTTTTCAAATTGATCTGAAAGATCCACATTCCCATTAAAACACCCACATACAAACAGTAAGAGCTGAAATCAACATAAGTATCTTTATTCAACACTCCTTTTCCATGCTTACCATTACAGGGACAGTCATTAACAGTAACAACACAATTTTAATTTGGGTTAATGGTTGCTTTTAAAGCTATACTTTTACATCCAAATCAAAGTTTGGATGAATCAGACAATGCAAAAGCAATTTATTAATATTCCCAAAATTATGGTCTTGAAATAAAATACTGAGTCCTCAATGACCGAGACAAGACGGAGTTCAAATGCGGTCGAGTCCGAGACGAGACCTAGACCATCAAAAAGTGGTCTTAAGACCAGTCTCGATAACTAAAACACTGCTAACTTGTCAATAATCATAACCATGTATGCATTACAATGACTTCAACATTTGAAAGTTTGCTGCAGTATGTTTAACTGCAGGGAGGTAGGTTGTGTTGTAGTCGTTACTCGCACACTGTGCTTGTAAATCATTTTTCGCACATATGTATTTTTATGGCGTATGCGACTGAATTTGTTGCACTGCAATCAACACAGCAAGTGTTTTCATAAGTCTTTCAGCAAGTCTTCATAACAAAATTTTGTTACTATTTAATCTTAACTTGATCTCAAGGTGAATCAGTTCAAAGGTTGGCTTCACAAGAATCATTTACAAACCTCTGCTGGATATAAAGTCATACAAAATAACGTGACACAAGTAAGGTTTTCAAGCCGTCCACTTTAATGAAATGTTGACTCAGACTACCTTGTTAAATAGTTGAGTTTCTTCACATAAGCAGATACAGTTCATTATACATTTAAAGTTACAACATACAGCAGATCCACATATGGATGTATTTAAAAGCATGCTCTCCTCATAATACAATGTGTGAAGAATGTCATCAGCCGGTGGTGCAACAATCAGGGAGGACATCATTTGACAGAGTGGAACAGTTTGTGTGCCACCTGGAGGACAGAAGAGGACATCCATTAGTGCACACGTACTACATACAATGCAAAGTGAAGTAAAGTCTCAAATATTTTTTCAAAGCAAAGAGGTTTTAGTGTCACTTATTTTTGTTAATTTCGATGTAATGTTGCTGAACTGTTAGGGTTAGTTTGTTGGGGTTAGACTGTTCATATGTGAATGACTGCCTTTTTTGTCAATCTGACAGTACAGACCTTTTTTGTACTGTGGGGATATACTGAAAATAAAATTGTATTTCAAACACTAAAACCTTTTGGTGATTAAAGGAGACCTATTATGCTTTTCCACATTTTATGACTTATCTACAATGTTGGATGTTCATGTAAAGAGACAGGAGCTACAGTTTGTTTCAGACAGAGGCTGAAATGAAGGCCTACACGAAGAGCCAGTATAAGATAGAAATTTTTTTTTTGAATTTTGAATCATGCAAAGCTGCCATATAGGAGTCACAGAACTACACTATAGGACTGGAAATGCAGTATAATGTGTCGTTTTTCCATTACCAGTACCAACTCAACTCCCCTCGACTCTACTCGATTCGGTTTTGGCCCGCCGTCCTCCGTTTCCTTCAAACACATTTTTATTCTGCCATCACTTTTGGTAAAACTGTCAATATTTGAAGTCTACACAGTTGATTTCTCACCTAAAAACTTCTCAGAAGTGGATTTAGTGTACGAAAATTGTAAAATATAAAACTTTCTGTTGCTGGCCTCTGTCAGGCGCACACAATGATGATGCAGTGAATAGTGACGATTCTCTGACCAATCAGCAGTCTGCCATGTTTTCACGTCACATTTTAGTATCGCCTCAGCTCGCTTGGAACCTCGACGGAGGTGATACAAAAAAAAGTACCTGGTAGTAGGTACAGGTACAACCTGTCCACAATGGAAAACCAAAATAGGTGAATAGTCGAGTTGAGCTGGTATCATGCAGTGGAAAAGGGGTATAGGTCTCCGTTAAAGGAAAAGGTGCCAACTGCTCCAACTCTGTGTGTGTAAAGCCAGCTGTGAACACCTTGGGCAAAATTATTTTGCAAAGATTACCTATTATTTCTTTGATTCAAGACAATGTATCCTGAAAACTGCTCAAAAAAAGAATGTGAGTCAACCTTGAAGGGTGTTGCTTGTATTTAAAATACAAAACAAAATTGTGTAATTTTTATTTAACAGGGTTAAAAAAATAGCACTTTGTGAGAAGTGTATGTGATGACATCATTAAAAAGCTGCCTGTGATTGGTGCCTACTCAGTAATTTGCCCAGACGTGTTGAGAGGACAAAGGAAAATTGATCCAGAACCAAAGGAGGAGGTCAAGGTGAGAAATGTGTAGGTCACCAGCTTTCCATCCATTTTTAGCATATTTTACTAAAATTTTTAACATTTCCTGTTAAGTGTTCCTGTTAGGCAGAACTCTGGTATAAAGTATATATCGCTATTTTCAGCTAAGTGTGCTTGTTTGTTATTTCACCGTTTTAATTATACCTGATTCTCCACCTATTCTCCAGCAGCTAGCTTGCTCATACCATAAAGATGCTGTTAGCAGCTCACTGCGCAGTGAGGTGACAGATAAAGACACTCTTACTCTGCTATATGGCACCAAATTACTCTATTGATGAAAAATGAGATAATACCGCATACCGTGATATTGAGCCCCAACATATTACCGCGGTGAAGTAATTTCCACCGCGACAGCCACGGCTATTAAAATGATTACTCATGAATCTTGGCTCCTTTGTGGTGTATTTTTAATCTTTCTGCTTGGTACAACTGGCAAATGTCACACTTACACAGTGGTCCCGAGCATGCAGGAAGTCAAACAACTCCTCAGTACAATCCTCCTCTGTCGAAGACCGAGAGCCAACTCTGGTCTCACACTGCTCCAGACGCTCCCGAGTGTGAATGCAGTGCTCCGCCTCTTCACACTTCTGTCGCATCGCGTCAAGGGGATCCTGAAACAGATATGCAGCACGTGGAATATGTACTTAGACGAGTGTCCTTTACCAAGAGAAACACACAATGGTTCTCAAACATTTTCACATCAAGGACCCCTAAACTGAAATTAGACCACAAACCCCCATTTGATAAGATTTTCTCCCAGGGATCTGATAGGATTTTTTGCTTATGCTTTATTACATAAAGTGTATGAAACCCATGGCCCAAGTATTACTTATGGATGGAATTATAATGAAAATTAAAGCTGCAAGCAGAGTTGGGGGGCCCTCTCATGTGTAGCGCGTCGAGGTGTGAGGCGGCTACGTTGCAGATTCTGGAGCTCTGCCAGTGTGGCTGTGAATTTGCCGCTATGGACGCTGCACCAAGGTGTTATACGTCACTTCCTGTGTCCCCTTTGTGGTGCTACAGAGCACTTGTCGCTACAACTATAACGGAATATTAGCATGTAGATGTTTTCGTCGGTGACTTATCAAGCACGTAAAGTTTGGTGCAGATGTGAGCATGTACACTGACATTACAGAAACTTCCTCTTTCTTGTCAAATCATCGATTTTTGGATGCTGCACCACGGGCACATCGTTACCTGAAAACTCACCATTTGTACAACTTTTAAGCGTCAGTGGGATGAGACCAGACAGTGAAAATTTGTCAGTGGGACTCATTCTGTAGGAGGAATTTGTTATAAGTCATCCAAAAATTACCATAAAATTCAAAATTCCTGTTGGGTTTAGGGCATCGCTCCAGGAGGCTTTTTGGTACATCTGGACATGATACATGATTAAAGGTCACTTCCTGTTGCCAGCAGGTGGCACTATGACTATGGGTGAATCTTGGCATGTACATGTGTTCAGGGCAGGACTCTTATTAAATGTGTAAAGTTTCGTATAGATCTGAGCTTGTCCAGTCAAGTTACAACAACTTTCTGTGTCATGGCGAAGCATGGAATTTCGTCGCCACGCCACTGTGTTAACCGAAAACTCACAAGTTTTACAACCTGGCATTGTCAATGTGTTAAGGGTTTTCTGGGGCAGATTTGTTGATATGGCCAACCTGCTAGGAGTAGTCCATCGTAGCGTAAAACGTGACATTTTCTGTTGCCAGCAGGTGGCGCTATGAGTTTGAGTGATGGATGTATTCAGGGTGTGACTGTTCTCACCCTGAACACATGGGCAAAAAGTCACTGTTTGTACAACTTTTAATCGGATATGTGTGTACAGTTAAAATTTGAAGTCGATCGGATTAATTCTGTGGGAGGAGTTCATTTAAGTACAAATTGTGTAAATCGGCCAATTTTGACCATTAAATCGAAATGGCCGACTTCCTGTTGGGAGTGGAGCATTACTCTAAGAGGCTTTTTTGTGCATCTGGACATGATACAAGTGTCCCAGAAATTTCGTACACGGAGATGAGACAATATTTGAGAGAAATAGGCCTTTTGTGTACATAGAGAAAGCCATAGATCTTTGAGTTCAGCTCATGATGAATGGGGGCAGAAACAAAAGTGTTGCATTTACAATTTTGTATATATATATATGTTCAGCATGTTTCTGAAGGGAATGTTAAAGTTGGCTAATGCTAACATAACGTTAGGTGATGATAAAGTATTTCTGATTCTGAAAATGGCTCACATGTATTTATAGATACAATTCCAGAAGGGAGGGAATGGCCTGACAAGGCCTGAAAGGCCCGCACAGCTGGTTATTGTTGGGTCATATGGACATGAGGTCAAAATATTGTCCACAGCTTGTACACCTTTTTTCTTAAACACTCCTTTCTCTTTCTTATGTTTGTCAGTTTGATTTTATTTTTCTTCCAGCTTCTTCTTAATAAACGCTCCTTTCATCGCTTGACACTTATATATGATATTAAAGGTAAAATCAAAACATATGGTTTGTGATCAAATGCAAAATCTCACAATACAGAGGGACAGTTAACATATTTTGATTCTGATGTGAGTCTCCACATACCACCATGTCTTCCTCCTCCTCTTCTTCCTCCTCCTCCTGAAACAGACATCCACGACCAAATCAATCAACGTTTCATTCACTTCCAGACATCAATGACACATTCAACAATTAACAAGCCAGCTTTACCAACGACGAACTAATGTGCAATATTAATTCTGCGGCATGACTTTGCTCCAGCTTGTTTCTGAAGGGAACGTTGAAATTGGCTAATGCTAACGTAAGCTAACGTAACGTTGGGTGATAATGTAGCCTAGTTAATGTTAGCCATGTTGTGTTAGCTTGCTAGCTAAAAATAACCAAACGTTACAGGCACTGCAGAGTTATCTTAAATCCATAAAAGCTACTAACATCCTCGGGCTCTCCGTTCATAATCATCTTCTCCTCGAGAACCATGGTTTTGACACTCTTGCCCTTAGATGACCGGCTGTCAGATGTCTAACGTTGGAGGACACAGCGGGTCACACACGAGCACAGCCAGCGGATAGCTGATAAGCTAGAGAGAACACATCACACAGCTTCCGGTCATCAGACTTTCACAACAAACCTCCCATTCGCAAGCTTTGTTTCCGTTACATTGGGTCAACCGTGAAAGACATCGTCATTGACAACGTCAATGAAAATACACCTTTGTCAGATAGCTTTAGTAGGCTATGGCTTTACATAGCTTACACTCAGTAGTCGTTTTCCACAGTTAAGTTATTTTAATCCCGTGACAGCTGTTTTATATTGAAGTCAGAGTCGTCTGGCAGAGACTAAATATGTACTTACAATTCAGTTTATATCATCAATTATATATTTTTATTTTATTATATAATAGGATAACAAAAGTTATCCTATTGCACTTTTCATTTAGAGTAGGTCTAGATGGATAAGAAAGCACAATACTTTGGGAAAGGGTAGAAGTCGAGTTAATAACATACATTAATAGGATAAAGTTGCATTCAGATGGAGAGAAAGAGAGGAGCTCAATGCATCATGGGAAGTCCCCTGGCAGTCTAGGCCTACAGCAGCAAAACTAAGGGACTGTTCATGAATCACCAGAGCCAGCCCTATCTATAAGCTTTATCAAAGAGGAAAGTCTAAAGCCCATATGTGGAGATGGTGTCTGCTACCCAAACTGGAACCTGGTTCCACAGGAGAGGAGCTTGACAGCTGAACACTCTGGTCTGGAAGAGCAGTGTTTTAGTGAGGTAATAAGGTGTTGGGCAATGACAGTAATGTAGTATTGCTTTTTGCTGTAACGCAGTAATATAACACATTACATTATATATATATATATATATATATATATATATATATATATATATATATATATATATATATATATCTCCATTACAATGTCAGTAACGCGGCATTTAACCGAAATTAAGTGGTGTGTTTTTTTTTTTTTTATAATTCACAAACACAGAGAAACATTTCGGCCATGAGTAAAATATTAACGTTATTTCGTGTTGCTGGATGGTGGAGCTATGTGCTTGTGCTTTAATGAATTACTTTGCTGATTAGAGAGGCTGCTGTCAGTTGATCCTGACCGAACCTGTCGGAGTTTTCGGGAGATTCAAATAACCTCACATGAGAGATAAGGCTGATTATTATTGGCTGCTGGCAACCCAACACAAGGGAGTTCAATCTCGCCCGAGCCTTTTGACTGACAGGAGAAGTAGGAAAAACATAAACGTCATTTAGACAGGCTTCAGCCCTTGTTTGCAATGGATTCAGTCTTTTCTGTAATTGGATCGTACGTGGCCTGGGATTTCAAAAGTCTGCTGTTCTTCACGACAGTTTCCATCCTCACTGCAGATTATATTAAGAACCGTCGGCCGGCCAGCTTCCCTCCAGGCCCCCGAAAATTACCTATTGTGGGCAACATATTCACTGTGGACCGCATCAGGACCCATGAGAATCTGACACAGGTAGATGAGCAAAAACTGTACCATTAAAACTGCAACAGGTTAACTGATAGGAGTTATCTTTCTGTTATCTGTTGTATGTAGCCTATGCTCTTCCTCTTCTCTCATATCAATTTGTTTATGTGGTGCCTTTTGCGTCCCCAATACAAATGATGTTGTATTTTGTCTAAATTTGGACAAATAGGGTAGAGTGGGGTAAGACGCCCCCCCCCCCCCCCCCCCTAAGCTCAATGACTATTTGCTGACACATAACATAATATTTTATAGGGGTTTTTTGGTATCTTGGAGATGGCCATGCTTAATTTGAAATTTAATCAAATGTAAATGTTAGGAGAAAGGCATTTTTCCCAGCTAGTGGTGTTAGACGCCCCCCCCCCCCACGCCCCCCCCCCCCCCCCCCCCCCCCCAAGCGTAATGTCTATTTTCTGACACATTAAAGAACATTTTATGGATTTTTTTTGTATCTTTAGTAAGGCTATGCTTTGGGTAACATAAAACAAAATAAACAGCAGTTGACTACTTAATTTGTATTTAATCACATGTATTTTTTAGGGAAAAGGCATTTTCCACCTGGGGTATGCCCCCTCTATGGGGTAAGATGCCAGATGCAAGTCATCCAGTGCCTAAATAACATCTGTTTTACAAACGATCAACCATAAAGGGGCAAGACGACTGTGGGGGGCATCTTACCCCACTGGAGGGTGGGCATCTTACCCCAAACATACTAATCTAGCATTTTACTACTTTAACCAAAAACCATAAAAAAAACATAACTTATCTTAAGGCTCTCCTTAATGTAAGTAAACATATATAGATAAATTGAACACAATAAAAAATGTACAGCTTATTTTAAAAAGTGACATTTTATGTTTTTTATTAGAATTACCCCAGGGGGCGTCTTACCCCATGTTACCCTACTAGTTCCATTTGGTTTTTCATGTAAGGTCAGTTATTATTACTTACAAGGAGATTGTTTTATTTGTATTTTAAACGCTTTGGTTTAAGAGGTACTATGGGATTTTGAACAAAACACATGTATTTCCAAATATTTCATTATTATCTAATTTTCCTGTTCAAAATCTATTTAATCAAATGTATTTATCAAAATTGTTAACCTTTGTGCAAAATGTGCACCCTGTTAGTTTTTCAACAGGTTGGACACTAGCAGGGTGGACATATAGAATATACTGGTGATTTGTCCACCCTGTTATGCTACTGTCCACCCTGTTATGTTGGTATTTTTCCATCATAGTTTATTGAAATTGGCAAATATTAAGTGTATATTTTTATTTACATAAAGATATGGAAGGGATTGACTATACAGGCAAGAGATATTGAGTAATTCTTATTATAATTAATATAATTCACTTTTCTCAGGAAAACAGTGGAAAAATATCTCCTTTTCATAATGTGCGCTTGTTTTTCTCAATATAGGCCTAGTCCATGCTGTTTTAAAATTATTTTATAGTAAAACAAATATCTAATAAGAGTGAGGGACATATGATTTCTATAAAATGTAATTTTAGTAGCAGTCATACCCTGAAAACACTTTAAAACAGTTATGTCTAAGTCCTTAACAGGGTGGACATTTCCCACACGTCACATGTTGTTAATATATCTATATTTAATACAATAAAGGTGCCTGAGTTCAACCAATATGTTTCTCGTGAAGTTAGATATATCCTTTATATAATAGTACTTTAAAATATCACCCTATGAAAAAAATGACCCATCCACAGTTAGCTGGGAAATATGGAGATGTGTACAGTCTGCGAATGGGCCAGTCATGGATGGTGGTGTTAAATGGATTCAAGATTCTGAAAGAAGCTCTGGTAAATCAAGGAGACAGCCTAGGGGACCGCCCAGACCTCCCTCTGCAGAAAGGTGTAGCCCATGGAAAAGGTGAGAGAATATAACACACACACAGATGCAAAGCCTGTGTTGCCGACAGTTCTCAGCTCACTTTTATTGTGGCTTCTGTGATACTCATATAGGAAAGCATTGTTGAGTGAAGGTATTGTGTGATACTTTGCTTTTCCTCCCAATAATTGTTTTAGTTTGTGTTTGTTCATACTTTTGAATAAGTTCAAGGGTTATGTTTTACCCTTTTCATGAGCACCAAGGTCTTAGCACCAATAACTTTGACTTAAACTTTTCAGGAGAGAAGTAAAGGGCTTTTTTCTTATGCTGTCCCAAATTACCTGATGTCCCAATATACCTGATTTACCCTATTGACTGTTTTTATCAGTATTTCAATGTATTGGAAGCTTTATGTTATTTGGAACGTGGTTGTATGGAGAGAAAAGTGAACATATAAACAGTAAATATGGCCAAAACATAGACATTCATCCGGTATTTTTTTTGAAAGATTGTGTAATAACTGTTGTATATCAGTTTCTTTTCATCAAATTTACCGTTACAGTTGTATTCCAGGTGTATTAGAAGATATTTAGGTGCATTATAATCTACCTTATGATGGTTTTGATGGTTTATTGCATTAAAATATAGCTTTTTTACCAGGTGAGGATGAAAATATCATATGTTTTCTGTATTTCATTGCTATGTAGTATGTAATGGTAAAATAAATATGTTAATGTACAATGGATTTATGTTCCTTAGCTTCTGACCTTTCAAAGGAGACAGAATTATGCATCTAGACCTAATGTTTGAGGAGTTGTTACTGATTTAATTTGGGTATGTTAGTTTAGGCGTTTTTCCTGGAAATAGGTGCCAGGGTCCATGTTGTTAATCCCTTTGTCAGTAGAAAACCTTGGAGATACACCTTGTAACAACACAGTACTATTAGTATCTTTATACAGCAGGAGACTTGTCTAAGGATAAACATTTCAAGGCATTTTCTACTTCGTCCATTCTGATTCCACCATCACATACATCTTTAAAACACTTTTCCACTTTAGGGATCCATTCTTTAGTAAACTTCGAAGAAAGCATCAGCAGCTGTACATGAAAAAGGGAAGAGTACAATTTACTGTAAAACTGAAAGATTTCCATAGAGATCTTATTAGGATCTATACATTCTTGGTTATCAATTAACAGTTTTTATACTATTTCGTTCTTGTCTCTTTCTCTCCAATCTACAGAAATAGGCTGAGCACCTTTCCCCCTCCTCTATCCACTTCACTCTCGACCTGATATATGCTCCTTTTGCCTTATTAATGAAAATGCTGTCCAGTGAAGACTGCAGAAGGATTAGTTTTTGTTTGTCATCTACGTTTAATATAGGTTTATTACAAATTTTGTTTATTTCCTTTACAATTTCCATTTCCCTTTTTTTACCAGCTCTGCTTAATTTTTTGCTGTTTGAAATGGAAATTTGACATGCTTTGTATTTTAAGAATTCTCATTTCTCCCTATAATTTGTCAAATTACAGTCTTTATATCACTGATTACTGATATAATTTCTTGACAGAATGGTTCTTATTTAAGAAGGCTCGAATTGAACTTCCAATACCCTTTATTCCTTTGACATACATTTGTAGGATTAAGAATAACTTTAATCAAGGAGTACATGCTACATACTGTGTAGCATGCATAGAAGAAGTAAAACACCCTTACGTCAGTGGAACCACACAATTGG